AGGAAACATGCTCCACTGGAGGCACCTTTGTCCTTTCTGTCCTCTGTTCCTTCCGAAACCTCACTACGGCTGCACAAAGCCAGTGTAGAAAAATTTGTTTTCCAATCATTAGTTTCCTCATTCAGGAATGACAGCAAAATGGCCATGAGCATCCCTAACGTGACAGTTGAGCAGAATTTTCAGTGTCCACATTCGGTTCTTACAGTACTGCTGTTCATTCGTTCATTCATTCGGCAAATACATGTTCAGCTCTGAGTCCCCGATGTTGTTCTAGGTACTAGGAATACAGCAGTGACCCAGACGGGGCAAGGACTGCTGCCCTGTTTTACAGAAGAGATGACTGAGGCTCACAGAAGCTAAGTGTTCCATCCAAAGCCACATCCGTAATAAGGGAAGCAGCAGAGCTAGAACGAATTTCAGCTCTTCTAACCCAAGGTCAGCTGTCCCCACTACCTCTCACCCTGCATCTTTCCACAGGTCTTCCATAAACACTGTGCCACTGAAGTATAAAACACTCTCTGTGCTGGGACCAGCAGTTAGCGTAATGGCTATGTCACTGAACTCCCATGTAGTTGACCGAGGTTCAAGTCCTGGACCCAGTGGCTTAAACTCAAGCCGGTTGCATGTGCGTGCATGCCCAAGATCCCGAGAGGAGAATGGAGGAGAAGGGACTGTGGCGTGGCCATCCCCCCTCGGGGGTGATTTCTCACTTTCTATCTCTCTGTCTCTCTTTGTCTTTCTGGCGAGTGCACGTGCCCTATAGCAAAAACCTCTCCACAAAAAAAAAAAAAAAAGAGAGAGAGAGAGAAACACTCTCTGGGATTTTGGATTTGGAACTGTAAGATCAGTGGCCGCCAGCAGTAATGATTTCAAACATGGCTCTGTTCTTGAAGAACTCTCAAGCGACTACACCAGGCTTACCTTGTGACCTGGAGTCCCTGTTAAATCCACTGAGGGACACTGGGCACAGAGAGGACAGCACGAAGGCCTGCTCAGGTGGATCTGCTAACCTTGGAACCAATCTGAAAAGAAGCTGGAATAACCAGTCTGTCTGAAAATGCAGAGCCCCTCGGACTGGCTCATCTGCAGAGAGGTCACGCCAGTTCTACTCTGAGTCACTTTACTCATATTGTCCAAGTCACACCTGGCTGAAAGCAGAACCAATCCATGAAGGGAGTTTCAATTTTGGAGGGAAAGAACCAGTACTTCTGGAGCATGAGGCAACCTTAGGGATGGCGGGCTGGATCCGGATGCTCTGGGAGGCTTTGAAAAGTCAAAAGCATAGGGCAGCAAGAGGGGAGAGATGGTGCTGGAAAAATTGAGAATGCAAGTGGCAGGGAAGACACCACTGTGCAAAAGCCCTCAGCTTCGTGTACGTGTGGGCAGGCTGCACCCTACACGCCTCCAAAGGCTGCATCAGCCCTGGCGTCTGAGGCTTATAATATTTTCTCAGTAACAGAAAGGGGGCCGCTGTTGCTAACATTTGAAATGTCCAGATGATAAAGGAGGAAACAAAGAAAATACACAGAAAAAGAAAGAGAGAGAGAGAGACTATGTCCTTTGTACCTCCCCAGCACCTTGCTAGTTCAAGTGGGTCAAACATCCCATATTCCTAGGACTCCTCCTGTGTTTCCCCATTGTGGTGTACTCGGCCTGTATCTTGATCCTGTGTGTATTTTCCTACATGTGAGGACCTCTCCGTGCCATGCAGATGAAAAATTTTATCTCTGAAAATAAAACAAGCCCAGCTATACAATGTCGGCTTTCTGTGGCCCACTCCCCCCTACCGCAGCCATCGCTGAACTTGGAGCCGGGTAGTGATGCACATGGCCAGCTCTCCCTGGCTCCAGCATCCCAGGAGACTGACTTTTACACTGCCTCACTTGCCAAGGCCCCTCTCGAGTCTTCCCCTCTCCAAGGAAGCTTTAGCAAGTACTGGCTTCTGAGGAAATGGCTTCCGAAGGTCAGAACCAGCACGCGTGGTCCAATAAGCACTGTGGCATGAACGTCCAAGGGACCAGCTGACTCAGCAGACTATTAATATAATGAAATCTGCCTTCTCAATAAGCTTAATGAAAGGACTCTCCCTCAACCATTCAAACTCTGACTTTTGTATCTCCTTCCAATTCTCAAATTTTATCATCCCTGGCACATAGAAGGATGGAGAGAGAGGAGGGGGAAATGTGAGGGAACGTTATTTCAAGAAAAATGTCTCTAATTAGCACGGTGAGCAGAGGGCAGAGGACGGGGAAGTGCCCAAGCAGACAGAACACGAGTCAGATCAAGTCCTTCGGTTCTCAGATTCACCAGGAGTTAAAGAATGCAGTCCTGTTCTTGGATCACAATCTTTCAAGAGTCCGCTGCTCCAAAAACATCTCTAATATTCTTAGCCTTAGCAGAAGCCAGCTACAATTGCCCTGATTTTATTACCTAAAAACCTAAGAATAGGTAATCATGTTTCCTGCTGACAAAATACAAAATGTTGAATATGACCAATTACAGACAAACACTGAAATGTTCAATAGGAAAAAAAAATTCTCACAGTCACCACAGAAAACACAGCCCATTTAACTATGGGAGGTAAAAATGAATGTCCTCTGAAGGGCTTTAATCTGCTACAAGGTCTTTTCAATTAATTTAACCATGAGTAATTTGCTTTGAAAAGGACTTGAGATTTTAAATATCAGAAAGCTATTTCCCAACCCATTTCTATAATTGGATTAGGCCATGTACTTCAACTTAGGGGACAGAATTCCTGTATATCAGTGTCCTGGTATCACAAACCCTGTCACCTCGGCAAGATGAGAACAGGTATTTGAGACATCAGCAACAAAGGAGGTTGGTTCTGTTCAACCCACTCCCTGAAAGCCTCCTGATTTCTTTTATTTTGGAGAGGTTTTTGCTACAGGGCACGTGCACACGCCAGAAAGACAGAGAGAGACAGAGAGACAGGAAGTGAGAAATCACCCCCCAGGGGGGATGGCCACGCTGCAATCCCTTCTCCTCCATTCTCCTCTTGGGATCTTCGGCACACACGCACACGCAACTGGCATGAGTTTAAGTCTCCAGGTCCAGGACTTGAAGCGCGGTCGACTACATGGGAGTCCAGTGATGTAGCCATTACACCATCTACTGGTCCCCAAAACCTCCTGATTCTAAAGAGCAATGTCTAAACACCTTCGCAGAATGTTCCAGATGCTCCAAAATGGAATTCTAAATGTTCCCCTGTAGGCCAGTGGTCCCCGCAAGAAGCTGTGGAGCTATCAGCGTTAGAGCAGCAATCTGGTCCCAGTTCACAAGAAGGGGGACCACAACACCAGGGAGAGGAAGAAGCCCCCACCCTAGTGGATCAAAAGGTAGTGGAAGGCGGGGCTGTGGACCCAAGGGAGACAAAATCAAGAGAAAGCAGCTGGAGAGAAAGAGGCGTATCCTGAGAGGTGGCCAGGACCGCTGAGTGGAAAGGCCAGCAGATACCACGTGGCTGGGCTGGCTTAGCGGAGAAGCTGAAGGAGAGCTGGGAACCTAACCACCAGCCTCGTCTTCAAAAGATGCACAACAGGAGCCATGCGCCATGCTGTTCTACACCTCTATGTCCTGCATGTGCGATATCCTGACCCAGCCTTCTCTTTTTTTTTTTTTTGGTACCTAATAAACTTCTGCGCTTCCCACAATGCCAGAGTTCAAGGGCTCCTTCCTCTTCCTCTGTGAAGTTTTACTGTTCAAAGATGCTGATACAATAGGTTTGGGCCAAGGCATCTGTATTTTTAAAAAGCTCCCCAAGTGATGCTAACGGTGAACAGATTTAAATATCACTGAATGTTAGTCCTAAGCTACTGATCACGTGATTTGTGGTCTTGTGGTATATGTGACTGAATGGTACTGGGGAGAGAGGTTGCAGATCTCAGACAGTCTTCATAAATAACAGTTAAACCTACGGCCAGGCAGGTGGCGTGGTAGCTAAGGTGCTGGATCCCACATGGCCCAAGGCATGGTTTGAGCCCCAGACCCAGTGGCATGTGGGCCAGAAAGTACAATGTCCTGAGGAAGTGGCCAGTACCTTTGAAGTGGTTTCAATCTGCATTGCCTCTAGACTGTTTGTCCTCTAATTCATAGGAATTGGTTGCTTTGATAAATCTCGGG